AGTCAACTTTTCATTCAATGAATATGAATTAATTTGACCAATGAACATTTAATTTTTTTTTATATTGGTCAAATGTATATTTTCAAGACTAATAACTTATAAGGATAAAATAAGAAAAATATTGTAATTGATTTTGATGATTGATAAATCAAATGTAGGGTATCTGATATCTCCAATGCTCTTACACAATAAAACTCAAACTTGTAAAGTGTACTATCTCTACACTTGCAGCCAGGGGCGGAGCCAGCCTTTTGTTAAAGGTTCATCCGAATTTCCTTCGACGGAAAATATTGCTATTTATATATGATTAAAATTATTTTTTATGTATATATAGTAAATGTCGAATCTCTTTCAATTAGTTTGTGTGTTTAGTTCTTCATATTTTGAATCCCCAATTAAAAATCCTAACTCTGCCACTACTTGCCGCAGGGTGGGCAGGGAAATGTAACAGCAGGACCACAATGTCCTTTTCCTTCTCAATCAATGAGAAGAGTTTAAGATTTTATTCTTTGTCTCTCTCTTAGATAAGAGGACATAACAAAGAGCAAAAACTAGGGACCTGCTCTTATCAACTGAAGTTTTCTTATGTATTGTTTCTTTTCGAATCTGTATTAACTAGAGCTAGTTGATGTAGTGAGAGAGCAATAGAGTTGTAATTTGTATATAAAAGTTTAAGTCCTACAATTACAAGAGTTTGTAATCAAATCCTTGCTAGTGTTTAGTGAAATTGTTTGGTGGTAGGTCGTAATTATTACTCGCTTCTAATACAAAAATATAATAACAAGTTTTTGCACCCACTCATGTCCCTATTTAATTTTTATTCTTAAATATGACAATTTTTAATTTTTGGCCTTACTACCCATTTAATGAATATTTATGAATTAAAGTACCCTTATCTATAACCTAATTCACTTGACATAAGTTTTAATTTTTTTTTATAATTTGGCGGTACTTAAGTTATGCGGCATAGGTTGTGTAGTATTTGTATGACCTAATTCTTTCAGCAAAAGTTTAGTGAACATTTCTTTGCTCGGCATAAGTTCTGCAGGAATTAAATTATCCGCCTTTTACCATACAACTTGTGGGTTTTAAAATTGAATTCTTGCCTGGCTCAACATAAGTTATGTAGTACGACACAACTTGCTATGTACCTTATATAGGGCATTTATGCCAGTGACCCTATGACATATTCTGTGTTTGTAAGAAACCTATCAGGTTCTGGTAGCCTGGCCATACCCTTGTGTCTTGTTTAATTTCTCCAAAATGGTCCCTAAAGAACAGTGGTTATATTATGACAAAGTTTTACTTTTCAAATGTTGTAAGTAAGCTTCACAAAAAGGCAATAAATAGCATTCAAATCCTCATATGTGAAAATGACTAGTTAGTGCCATGCCATAAAGGCTGGCTATGAAGTAACAAAATTTCAAGACTGTGAATTAAACAGCACAAAATTAGCATCATTATTGCAAGAGTTGTAAAACAAGTAACTAAAACAAGCAATCAAATGAAACAAATATGAAAATTTCGTTGACGAAGTCAATAAGATTTATGTAGGTCCAACCTTTAATTTGGTGCAAAGAAACTTATTCAATTCTAACAACTCCCATTATAAATCTTGGGTAAGGTAGCATGTGATACAGCAGAGTTCTTAATGGAAACTTTTCTGCTTACATTGCACATATTGTTATGTGGTTTTGTATGCTCAGTTTCTAGTGCAAAAGATATTATCACTGCAACTGACTTTCTAACAGATGGTAAGACCATTACTTCATCTGATGGAAGCTTTGAGATGGGATTTTTTTCCCCGGCTAGTTTCACGAATAATTGGTATGTCGGAATATGGTACAAGTACAATGTACCTGATAAGTCTGTGGTATGGGTTGCCAATAGAGCGAATCCATTCACCAACACATCAGGTGTTATGTTGAAAATCATCGATACAGGACAACTTGCTCTTCTCACTGCTGCTAATACAATTATGTGGTCTACTAATTCATCGTGGCCTTTGGCTATGAAGAATCCAGTTGCACAGTTGTTGAACTCGGGGAATCTTGTCGTAAGAGATGCCAATGATACTGAGCCTGAGAACTTCCTGTGGCAGAGTTTTGATTATCCTACTGATACACTGTTACCAGGCATGAAAATGGGTAAGAACTTTGTGACTGGACAAGAATTTTACCTGTCCTCATGGAAGAAGGAATCTGATCCAGCTCCAGGAGAATATACATACCGTTGTGATCCTACTGGATATCCTCAGAATGTCTTGAGGAAAGGTAAAGTTAAGGTGTTCAATACCGGACCATGGAATGGACTCCGCTGGAGTGGCGTACCAGGATTCATAAAAAATACTATTTCCACATTTAAGCTAGATTTTGATGAAAAGGAAGCATTTTACAGCTTCACGATTCTGGGTTCTGTTATGAGCAAATTAACCATAAAAAGTAGCGGTGAGCTTCAAATTTCAATGTGGGTTGAGAATAGACAGGAATGGCAAGATATTCTTTCTTCATCGGTAGATACTTGTGACAGCTATGGAACATGTGGTGCATATGGTAGTTGCAACAACACACTCACTCCTTCGTGTAGCTGCTTAGACACGTTTGTGCCTAAAGATCCAACAAATTGGGCAATGACAAATTGGTCCAGCGGGTGTGTTAGGAGGAAACCCCTTAATTGCCAGAATGGAGATGGGTTTCTCAAGCACTCTAGTATAAAGCTACCAGATACACAGTATTCATGGTTTGATGTGAGTATGACACTCCACGAGTGCAAGCAAGCTTGCTTGAAGAATTGCTTGTGTCAGGCTTACTCAAATCTTGATATACGCAATGGTGGGAGTGGCTGTTTGCTTTGGTATGACGACTTAATTGACATTCGAGAATTACCTGGAGGACAGGACATTTACTTAAGGGTTTCTACCTCAGAGTTAGGTAACATTTGTGAATTTGATCAAAGTTGGAGTATTAGCTGAATGATTTAAACTTCCCAATTCTCAGATTTAGTTGTATTTTACTTAGATATCTGTTAAAAGTTCACACAGTATATGTTCACTCTTCCATGCCTATTTAGTTTATTTCACCCCTCCATGTTTTGTTCAGGCTCGAAGAAAACAAAACTACTCGTGTTGAGTCTGTTACTGTTGATTGGAGTGACTGTGACTGGCCTGACCATAGGGATGTATATTTGGAAAAAGAAGAAGAAGAGGAAGATGAATTTGAAAGATGACCTAGACCTCCCACTGTTTACCTTATCAACTCTAACTAAAGCATCCTCTAATTTCTCAGTCGAGAACAAGATTGGAGAAGGTGGATTTGGATCTGTTTACAAGGTAACATCTTAAGTTTATGAATCATTCTTTCAGTAAATAATATCTACTATTATTGACAGTAAACAGATGACACTTACTGAATCGCTAAGCCAGATATATGTTGATATTATAGGGAATCCTGGAAGGTGGACACGAAGTAGCTATAAAGAGGCTATCCAAGTCTTCCTCGCAAGGAGTTAACGAGTTCAAGAATGAAGTTATTTGCATTGCCAAACTTCAGCATCGAAATCTTGTGAAGCTTATAGGTTGCTGCATTGCAGGAGGAGAAAAAATGTTGGTCTATGAATACATGTGCAACAGAAGTCTAGATCTCTTCATATTTGGTCTGGTTACTCTTGCTTAACTCGAATAACCTCTATTAGTACAAATAGTAAAGTTGATAGTTTAATCACATTATCAGTGTTCTAACAGAGGACCTGTTAACAGATGAAAAGAGGAGCTTGTTACTCAACTGGCCTAAGCGCTTCGACATCATCAATGGAATTGCTAGAGGACTTCTGTATCTCCATCAAGATTCTCGGCTAAGAATTATCCACAGAGACCTCAAAGCTAGTAACATTTTGCTAGATGCTGACATGAACCCCAAGATCTCAGATTTTGGCATAGCTAGAAGCGTTGTAGGGAATGAGACTGGTGCTAATACACACCATGTGGTTGGGACACAGTAAGAAATTTAATACTACTTATTTTTTAGCATTTATATTATGTATATAATATTCTTTATTTAACACTATTTTCTGTTTAATGTGTGATGCAGTGGCTACATGTCCCCAGAGTATGTAGTCCATGGTGTTTTCTCAGTAAAATCAGATGTATTTAGCTTTGGTGTGTTAGTGCTAGAGATAATCAGTGGTCGGAGAAACAGAGGATTTGCCGGTGAAAGTCACAGTATCAACCTACTCGGACATGTAAGTCTTGTTTGTAACTAAAGACGAGTTTTAATTTTGTGGTCACTTATAAGGCAGTTAATTGATAATACCTCATAAAAACGATAGTTAAACTGCATTGAACTTAAATCCATCAGGCACATCAACCGCTACATGTTTCTTGATTATGTACTGATTGTGTTATTGATAGGTATGGAAACTTTACAAAGAAGGTAGACCACTGGAGCTAATTGATGGACATCTAATGGATTCGAGTTATATTTCTGAATTGCTACGCTTAATCCATGTTGCTCTGTTATGTGTACAACAATGTCCAGAAGACAGGCCAGACATGGCTACAGTGATCTTGATGTTGACTAATGATGCTAATTTGCCTCAAGCTAAGGAACCTGGTTTCTTCACAGAAAGCAAAGTCACGTCTGGATGTTCTACAAGCATGAGTTCAACAAACGAAATTACCGTCACACAGTTAGAACCCCGGTAAATTACGTTACATGTTCATTCAGATCGTTCAATGTCAACAAGCTTGAATTACAAGTGTTTGTAAAGTCATAATGGCCTATGTTATATGTTATCTGTTATTAGCAAGTCTTCAATATGGGTGTGTATCAGTATTTAGTGTGGATACCTTTAGTTTTTATTAATTCTAATGTATTTTAAAGTATTCGTACAAAGTACCTATTCAGCATGTGTACATCAAAATAAATGAAAGATCCATATAAAATAAATCAACACAATGAGAGTTCACAATAACAGCAGAAGCCATTGTTGTTGGTGTTTAGAAGCTCCAGTCCCATAGTACTCCATTATTTACAGAGTATCAGTTATGTTGTTCCCATTCTCCGAGTTTACACGATCAAACATCAGGCAGTCACTGCACCAACAATTAGAATGATAGCAGAATGGTTTGATTAAAGTAATGAAATTGCCAAGACTAGAGTGATTGGAAGGATTGCAATTCTAATTTCTTATTTTCTTTCTAGGAAATGTACAAAAGATATTATCACTGCAACTGACTTTATAAATGGAAACAACCGAGATTGAAAGACATAAAACGCATTCACTCAATGCGATTTATGAGTAAATTACTATATTACCCCTTCTGTTTAATATTATTTGTATACTATTTTAAAAATATATTTATTATTACTTTTATAGTATCAAGAAAGAAAAATATTTTATCTTTTAAAAAAACGTCATATCGTTAAAAATTTGAAAAATCCTTCTCAAAAACCTAAATAGAAAGAGTTGAGAATGAAAGGCATAAAACGCATTCAGCGAATGCGATTTATGATTAAAATTTTGTGTCTTCTTATTAATTGTTGAAATTACTATATTACCCCTTCCGTTTAGTTTTATTTGTCCACTATTTTAAAAATATATTTATTTCTTTCATTTATTACTTTTATAATATCAAGAAAAGATAAATATTTTATCTTTTTAAAAAAATGTCATGTCGTTGAAAACTTGAAAGACCCTTCTTAGATACCTAAATAAAAAGAGCTAAGAATGAAAGGCATAAAACACATTCACTGAATTCGATTTATGAGTAAGATTCTGTATCTTCTTTTTTATTATTGAAATTACTATATTACCCCTTCTGTTTAATTTTATTTGTTCACTATTTTTAAAATATATTTATTTATTTTATTTATTACTTTTATAATATCAAGAAAAGATAAATATTTTATCTTTTAAAAAAAATGTCATGTCGTTGAAAACTTGAAAATCCCTTCTCAGATGCCTAAATAGAAAGAGTTGAGAATGAAAGACATAAAAGATTTATGAGTAAAATTCTGTGTCTTCTTATTTATTGTTGAAATTACTATATTACCTCTTCCGATTAATTTTATTTGTCCACTATCTTTAAAATATATTTATTTATTTCATTTATTACTTTTATAATATCAAGAAAAGATAAATATTTTATCTTTTAAAAAAAATATCATATCGTTGAAAACTTGAAACCCCCTTCTCAGATACCTAAATAGAAAGAGTTGAGAATGAAAGGTATAAAATGCATTCAACGAATGCGATTTATGAGTACAAATTTGTTTTTTCTTTTTTATTGTTGGAATTACTATATTATCTCTTCCATATTTCATTTATTACTTTTATAATATCAAGAAAAGATAAATATTGTTTCTTTTAAAAGAAAAGAAATGTTATGTCGTTGAAAACTTGAAAACCCCTTCTTAGATACCTAAATAGAAAGAGCTGAGAATGAAAGGTATAAAACACATTCACTGAATGCGATTTATGAGTAAAATTCTCTTTCTTCTTTTTTATTGTTAAACTTACTATATTACCCTTCCGTTTAATTTTATTTGTAAACAATTTTTAAAATATATTTATTTATTTCATTTATTACTTTTATAATATCAAGAAAAGATAAAAATATTTTATCTTTAAAAAAAGGACACGTTGTTGAAAACTTGAAAAACCCTTCTCAGATACCTAAATAAAAAGAGTTGAGAATGAAAGACATAAAACGTATTCAGCGAATGCGATTTATGAATAAAATTATGTGTCTTCTTATTTATTGTTGAAATTACTATATTACCCCTTCCGTTTAATTTTATTTGTCCACTATTTTTAAAATTTATTTATTTATTACTTTTATTTAGGTAGATGAGAAGGGTTTATTACTAGTGCAAAAGATATTATCACTGCAACTGACTTTCTAACAGATGGAAAGACCATTACTTCATCTGATGGAAGCTGTGAGATGGCTAGTTTCACGAATAATTGGTATGTTGGAATATGGTATAAGCACCATGTACCTTATAAGTCTGTGGTAGCCAATAGAGAAAATCCATTCAACAACACGTCAGGTGTTATGTTGAAAATCATCGATACAGGACGACTTGCTCTTCTCACTGCTGCTAATACAATCGTGTGGTCTACTAATTCATCGAGGCCTTTTGCACAGTTGTTGAACGAGACGCAAATGATACTAAACCTGAGAAGTTCCTGTGGCAAAGTTTTGATTATCCTACTGATACGTTCTTACCAGGCATGAAGATGGGTAAGAACTGGACAAGAATTTTACCTGTCCTCGTGGAAGAACGAATATGATCCTGATCCAGCTCCAGGGGAATATACGTATCATTAGGATGTCATGAGGAAAGGTAAAGTTAAGGTGTTCAGTACTGGACCATGGAATGGACTCTGGTGTACTAGGACTGACAAAAAATACTACTATATATATTTATACATTTAAACTGGATCTTGATGAAAAGAGAGCATTTTACAACTTCACGCTTTTATTCCCAACTGTTAGATTAACAGATCCTTGGTTATGACTTGTGACTATCACATTAACCAACTTGGTAAGTAGGAGTTTTTGTCCACTTGAAAACCACAAGTGTGAGACCCGTGCCGACCCAGACACCCGACTTGAGATCCAACCCTGACCTTGACTCTAATATCTGACCCAAAACCCGACCTCAACCCTAACACTCGACTTGAGACCCGAGACCCAACCCGCCCCGCCCGACCCAAGACCAGAGTCCCAACCCAGACCTGAGACCTGATCTCAATCCGGACCCAACCCGACTCGACCCGAGATCGACCTTGACCCCGAGACTCGACCCTGACACTCGACTCAAAGTTTGACCTCTTATTCTAACTTGAGATCTACTCCCGACTCAATCCAAGACTCGAGAGTTTGGTCTCAAATCGAGGTCAAGAGTCCAATCTTGAATTGAGACTAAGGAGTCGGATTTAGGATTAGTATTGGGAATCGATACCCAAGAATTAAGTTATGATGAAAATTTGAGGCGTGAGGTTCTAAATGATTTTGGAAAATGTTTTTCTTACTTTTTTAACGGAAACTCATTTTCCTTAAATTTGAGGATAATAAGTTGATTGGGAAAATTATTTCCAAAATATTTAAGTCAACCAAACAGAGAAAATTAGAAAACATTTTCTTCATACTAAACACACCCTTAATCTGTAATTACTTTCTAAAATTGGGGTGCTTAATCAATATCTTTGTATAATACTCGCTTCCGTTTAGAAGATTTTATATAACAGATTCTTCCCCAATTTTCCCTATTTAATTTTTATCCTCAAATATAATGATCTTTAATTTTTGTCTCTACTGGTTACTGTTCATTTAATGAAAAATTTATATATTAAATATCTTTATCTATAACCTAATTTACTTGCATATGTTTAGAAAAGGGGAAAAGGTAGAAGTACCTCTCCCTAGACTATGATCCAAATCTCAGAGACACACCTTAACTAAACTAAGGTTCTATTACCCCTTGAACTCATTTTTTTGTAATTTTGTACACCTTTTTGGCTTACGCATCCAAATATCTCATACACGCCTCAACTGCATGGAGCCACGGGATGTGCCACATAAGCCAAAAAGTGTACAAAATTACAAAAAAATGAGTTCAGGATGGTAATAAGACCTTAGTTTAGTTAAGGTGTGTCTCTGGAACTTCAGTCATAGTCTAGGGCAGTGGCGGAGGGAGGATTTTCATCAAGGGGGTTCAATGAAAAAATTAATCACGGTAATTAATATCACAAATAAATAAATGGGTCGAATCGGATATAAACGGGTCGAATTAAACTGTCGAATCAAGAAGAAAAGGGTTTTTAATATTTGACTTTATAATTAGGGATTAAACTAATAAATCCTAAATTCCCAATCAACATTTTTAATTTTTTGGAACTAAACATCATTTTCTGATTGCATTATTATATTTTAAAATAAATTAAAACGCCTAAAATATAAGCTGATAAAAGAAATGCCTCTACCCGGATTCGAACACGCGACCTCGCGTGCAGTAGAGCAAATTTCCTGAACCCCCAACCCCACTGAGCTACGCCTTTGGTGTATGTTCAGGGGGTTTAGTACTATATATATACACGTATATTAAAAAATTTAATCTTATATATATAGTGTAATTTTCGACAAAGGGGGTTCGGATGAACCCCCTTCGTCCTATGTAAATCCACCCCTGGTCTAGGGAGTACTTGTGGTCTTCTCCCATTTAGAAAACTAATGTCTCGCTTGGCATAAGTTTGGTGGTAATTAATTAAGTTCTGCGGTGGTATAAGTTGTGTAGTATCTCATCAAAGTTTAATGATCTTTTGCCTCGCTCGGCATAAGGTTTGCAGTACGGATTAACTTGTGGTATATGATTGATACAAAAATATAAACTTATGTCAAGCAAAAAAAATATTTTTGATTTTGGTGTCGAGATATTTAATTTGGCACATTATTTTTACTTAAAATGATTGACGGACAAAAATTGAAGACCATCAAATTTAAGGACGAAAATTGAAAGTAGAGGGATTTTTGTGCCAATGACCCTGTGACAAATTTTGTGATTGTGAGGAACCAATCAGATCTTGGTGGACTGGCCATATCATTCTGTCTTGTTTCTCCAAAATGGTCCCCAAAAAACAGTGCTTATGGACAAACTTTTACTACTTTTCAAACGTTGGAAGCTATGTAAGCTTCATGAAGAGGCAATTTATAGCCTTCAAATCCCTCATAAGTGATAACGACTATTATAATAGAAACTAGACTAGTACAGTGCCGTGTCATAAAGGCTAGCTGTGAAGTAACACATTTCAAGCCCCGGGTATGGAGCAATCCAATGTGGGCTCAGACACCGGATGGAAACCAGTAAAAGAAAACACAATTTCAAGACTCTGAATTAAACCAACACCAAATTAGTGGCAAGGCATCATTGTCATGATGAAGGCTAGTTTCTTCCTACTTTCCATTTTTCTATAGAGATTAAGTTGATTTTTTCAAAGGTCATTGGTGATTAATTGTACAAGTGGAAGAGTAACTAAAACAAGCAAGCCTCGATTGACCAAGTCAATAAGATGAAGACATTAAAGAGGTCATAGTCAAGTGAGAATTTCTGAGTCCTTACTCACTTATTCAACTTAACCTGACCTTGATATTTCGATGGAATTAAAATTCGAAAAAACACATAAAATATAAAAAAAAGTATCATTCTTTTGGAGATAAAATAAAAAAAGAAATGAAAATGAGTTGCATAAATTGGGACATGGAAGTGATATATACATTCTAGTTATAAATTAGCAGCCAAAATCCCAAATAGTTTGATGTGACTTTAAGGCCTTCAGAACTAGCTAGATTTACACTGAAAAGGTCAGGTTACCTCCAGATATCTAAACCTGCATAGGTTAGGTTGCATGTGATAGAACAGTTCTTAATGGAAAGTTTTGTGCTTATATTGCAGATATTGTTATGTTGTTTTGTATGCTCAATTACTAGTGCAAAAGATATTATCACTACAACTGACTTTCTAACAGATGGAAAGACCATTACTTCATCTGATGGAAGTTTTGAGATGGGATTTTTTTCCCCGGTTAGTTTCACGAATAATTGGTATATTGGAATATGGTATAAGCACGATGTACCTGATAAGTCTGTGGTATGGGTTGCCAATAGAGAAAATCCATTCAACAACACATCAGGTGTTATGTTGAAAATCATCGATACAGGACAACTTGCTCTTCTCACTCCTGCTAATACAATCGTGTGGTCTACTAATTCATCGAGGCCTTTGGCTGTGAAGAATACAGTTGCACAGTTGTTGAACTCGGGGAATCTTGTCATAAGAGATGCAAATGATACCAAGCCTGAGAAGTTCCTGTGGCAGAGTTTTGAATATCCTACTGATACACTCTTACCAGGCATGAAGATGGGTAAGAACTTTGTAACTGGACAAGAATTTTACCTGTCCTCATGGAAGAACGAATATGATCCAGCTCCAGGAGAATATACATACCGTTGTGATCCTACTGGATATCCTCAGAATGTCTTGAGGAAAGGTAAAGTTAAGGTGTTCAATACCGGACCATGGAATGGACTCCGCTGGAGTGGCGTACCAGGATTCATAAAAAATACTATTTCCACATTTAAGCTAGATTTTGATGAAAAGGAAGCATTTTACAGCTTCACGATTCTGGGTTCTGTTATGAGCAAATTAACCATAAAAAGTAGCGGTGAGCTTCAAATTTCAATGTGGGTTGAGAATAGACAGGAATGGCAAGATATTCTTTCTTCATCGGTAGATACTTGTGACAGCTATGGAACATGTGGTGCATATGGTAGTTGCAACAACACACTCACTCCTTCGTGTAGCTGCTTAGACACGTTTGTGCCTAAAGATCCAACAAATTGGGCAATGACAAATTGGTCCAGCGGGTGTGTTAGGAGGAAACCCCTTAATTGCCAGAATGGAGATGGGTTTCTCAAGCACTCTAGTATAAAGCTACCAGATACACAGTATTCATGGTTTGATGTGAGTATGACACTCCACGAGTGCAAGCAAGCTTGCTTGAAGAATTGCTTGTGTCAGGCTTACTCAAATCTTGATATACGCAATGGTGGGAGTGGCTGTTTGCTTTGGTATGACGACTTAATTGACATTCGAGAATTACCTGGAGGACAGGACATTTACTTAAGGGTTTCTACCTCAGAGTTAGGTAACATTTGTGAATTTGATCAAAGTTGGAGTATTAGCTGAATGATTTAAACTTCCCAATTCTCAGATTTAGTTGTATTTTACTTAGATATCTGTTAAAAGTTCACACAGTATATGTTCACTCTTCCATGCCTATTTAGTTTATTTCACCCCTCCATGTTTTGTTCAGGCTCGAAGAAAACAAAACTACTCGTGTTGAGTCTGTTACTGTTGATTGGAGTGACTGTGACTGGCCTGACCATAGGGATGTATATTTGGAAAAAGAAGAAGAAGAGGAAGATGAATTTGAAAGATGACCTAGACCTCCCACTGTTTACCTTATCAACTCTAACTAAAGCATCCTCTAATTTCTCAGTCGAGAACAAGATTGGAGAAGGTGGATTTGGATCTGTTTACAAGGTAACATCTTAAGTTTATGAATCATTCTTTCAGTAAATAATATCTACTATTATTGACAGTAAACAGATGACACTTACTGAATCGCTAAGCCAGATATATGTTGATATTATAGGGAATCCTGGAAGGTGGACACGAAGTAGCTATAAAGAGGCTATCCAAGTCTTCCTCGCAAGGAGTTAACGAGTTCAAGAATGAAGTTATTTGCATTGCCAAACTTCAGCATCGAAATCTTGTGAAGCTTATAGGTTGCTGCATTGCAGGAGGAGAAAAAATGTTGGTCTATGAATACATGTGCAACAGAAGTCTAGATCTCTTCATATTTGGTCTGGTTACTCTTGCTTAACTCGAATAACCTCTATTAGTACAAATAGTAAAGTTGATAGTTTAATCACATTATCAGTGTTCTAACAGAGGACCTGTTAACAGATGAAAAGAGGAGCTTGTTACTCAACTGGCCTAAGCGCTTCGACATCATCAATGGAATTGCTAGAGGACTTCTGTATCTCCATCAAGATTCTCGGCTAAGAATTATCCACAGAGACCTCAAAGCTAGTAACATTTTGCTAGATGCTGACATGAACCCCAAGATCTCAGATTTTGGCATAGCTAGAAGCGTTGTAGGGAATGAGACTGGTGCTAATACACACCATGTGGTTGGGACACAGTAAGAAATTTAATACTACTTATTTTTTAGCATTTATATTATGTATATAATATTCTTTATTTAACACTATTTTCTGTTTAATGTGTGATGCAGTGGCTACATGTCCCCAGAGTATGTAGTCCATGGTGTTTTCTCAGTAAAATCAGATGTATTTAGCTTTGGTGTGTTAGTGCTAGAGATAATCAGTGGTCGGAGAAACAGAGGATTTGCCGGTGAAAGTCACAGTATCAACCTACTCGGACATGTAAGTCTTGTTTGTAACTAAAGACGAGTTTTAATTTTGTGGTCACTTATAAGGCAGTTAATTGATAATACCTCATAAAAACGATAGTTAAACTGCATTGAACTTAAATCCATCAGGCACATCAACCGCTACATGTTTCTTGATTATGTACTGATTGTGTTATTGATAGGTATGGAAACTTTACAAAGAAGGTAGACCACTGGAGCTAATTGATGGACATCTAATGGATTCGAGTTATATTTCTGAATTGCTACGCTTAATCCATGTTGCTCTGTTATGTGTACAACAATGTCCAGAAGACAGGCCAGACATGGCTACAGTGATCTTGATGTTGACTAATGATGCTAATTTGCCTCAAGCTAAGGAACCTGGTTTCTTCACAGAAAGCAAAGTCACGTCTGGATGTTCTACAAGCATGAGTTCAACAAACGAAATTACCGTCACACAGTTAGAACCCCGGTAAATTACGTTACATGTTCATTCAGATCGTTCAATGTCAACAAGCTTGAATTACAAGTGTTTGTAAAGTCATAATGGCCTATGTTATATGTTATCTGTTATTAGCAAGTCTTCAATATGGGTGTGTATCAGTATTTAGTGTGGATACCTTTAGTTTTTATTAATTCTAATGTATTTTAAAGTATTCGTACAAAGTACCTATTCAGCATGTGTACATCAAAATAAATGAAAGATCCATATAAAATAAATCAACACAATGAGAGTTCACAATAACAGCAGAAGCCATTGTTGTTGGTGTTTAGAAGCTCCAGTCCCATAGTACTCCATTATTTACAGAGTATCAGTTATGTTGTTCCCATTCTCCGAGTTTACACGATCAAACATCAGGCAGTCACTGCACCAACAATTAGAATGATAGCAGAATGGTTTGATTAAAGTAATGAAATTGCCAAGACTAGAGTGATTGGAAGGATTGCAATTCTAATTTCTTATTTTCTTTCTAGGAAATGTACAAAAGATATTATCACTGCAACTGACTTTATAAATGGAAACAACCGAGATTGAAAGACATAAAACGCATTCACTCAATGCGATTTATGAGTAAATTACTATATTACCCCTTCTGTTTAATATTATTTGTATACTATTTTAAAAATATATTTATTATTACTTTTATAATATCAAGAAAGAAAAATATTTTATCTTTTAAAAAAACGTCATATCGTTAAAAATTTGAAAAATCCTTCTCAAAAACCTAAATAGAAAGAGTTGAGAATGAAAGGCATAAAACGCATTCAGCGAATGCGATTTATGATTAAAATTTTGTGTCTTCTTATTAATTGTTGAAATTACTATATTACCCCTTCCGTTTAGTTTTATTTGTCCACTATTTTAAAAATATATTTATTTCTTTCATTTATTACTTTTATAATATCAAGAAAAGATAAATATTTTATCTTTTTAAAAAAATGTCATGTCGTTGAAAACTTGAAAGACCCTTCTTAGATACCTAAATAAAAAGAGCTAAGAATGAAAGGCATAAAACACATTCACTGAATTCGATTTATGAGTAAGATTCTGTATCTTCTTTTTATTATTGAAATTACTATATTACCCCTTCTGTTTAATTTTATTTGTTCACTATTTTTAAAATATATTTATTTATTTTATTTATTACTTTTATAATATCAAGAAAAGATAAATATTTTATCTTTTAAAAAAAATGTCATGTCGTTGAAAACTTGAAAATCCCTTCTCAGATGCCTAAATAGAAAGAGTTGAGAATGAAAGACATAAAAGATTTATGAGTAAAATTCTGTGTCTTCTTATTTATTGTTGAAATTACTATATTACCTCTTCCGATTAATTTTATTTGTCCACTATCTTTAAAATATATTTATTTATTTCATTTATTACTTTTATAATATCAAGAAAAGATAAATATTTTATCTTTTAAAAAAAATATCATATCGTTGAAAACTTGAAACCCCCTTCTCAGATACCTAAATAGAAAGAGTTGAGAATGAAAGGTATAAAATGCATTCAACGAATGCGATTTATGAGTACAAATTTGTTTTTTCTTTTTTATTGTTGGAATTACTATATTATCTCTTCCATATTTCATTTATTACTTTTATAATATCAAGAAAAGATAAATATTGTTTCTTTTAAAAGAAAAGAAATGTTATGTCGTTGAAAACTTGAAAACCCCTTCTTAGATACCTAAATAGAAAGAGCTGAGAATGAAAGGTATAAAACACATTCACTGAATGCGATTTATGAGTAAAATTCTCTTTCTTCTTTTTTATTGTTAAACTTACTATATTACCCTTCCGTTTAATTTTATTTGTAAACAATTTTTAAAATATATTTATTTATTTCATTTATTACTTTTATAATATCAAGAAAAGATAAAAATATTTTATCTTTAAAAAAAGGACACGTTGTTGAAAACTTGAAAAACCCTTCTCAGATACCTAAATAAAAAGAGTTGAGAATGAAAGACATAAAACGTATTCAGCGAATGCGATTTATGAATAAAATTATGTGTCTTCTTATTTATTGTTGAAATTACTATATTACCCCTTCCGTTTAATTTTATTTGTCCACTATTTTTAAAATATATTTATTTATTACTTTTATTTAGGTAGATGAGAAGGGTTTATTACTAGTGCAAAAGATATTATCACTGCAACTGACTTTCTAACAGATGGAAAGACCATTACTTCATCTGATGGAAGCTGTGAGATGGCTAGTTTCACGAATAATTGGTATGTTGGAATATGGTATAAGCACCATGTACCTTATAAGTCTGTGGTAGCCAATAGAGAAAATCCATTCAACAACACGTCAGGTGTTATGTTGAAAATCATCGATACAGGACGACTTGCTCTTCTCACTGCTGCTAATACAATCGTGTGGTCTACTAATTCATCGAGGCCTTTTGCACAGTTGTTGAACGAGACGCAAATGATACTAAACCTGAGAAGTTCCTGTGGCAAAGTTTTGATTATCCTACTGATACGTTCTTACCAGGCATGAAGATGGGT